CTTATTGTTAAGCAATTGCTCTTCTCCTCCATCGTATCCCAGCCAGGAAACACCATCGCTGGTAGCTCCGAGGGGGTCATACTTGATCGCTGAATGGGGACCGTAAGTAGAGAGTAAAAAGGGGGCTGTACCCAGTCCCAGTCGGGAACCACACTGGCTCGCCAGAAGTTGTTCTCATATGCTCACCTTACCACATTTTCCAGCAAAAAAAATCCATTGAACAGCCGAGCCAGAAGAAAACCCCTTTGCACTTCTGCACCCATCCTATAACTCCTTTCCAGAGTCACCACGTTAACGCGCGGTACTCTTGGAGCAAGCTGAATAAGACCCTCGATTCTGCCGGGGGGGGGCTAACATACGATCACGTGATGAACCGTGGTGTGGACAATTCAGCCGTCGAATTTTGAGAATCCGGGAAAAAAACCAAGGTTCAACCCTTTCTATTTTTTTACAGAACACGTTAACGGAAGAGCCCTTGAAACTTTGGAAAAAGTAGACCGCCATTTAGGTTCTTCAGAATCAAAACCGCAAAAAAGGCCTACCTTTCGATCGTTCCATTTCCGTACTCGGGCCTGATACTCCCGTCCAATGTTAATGTGCCTGAAAAAATTCAAAATGCAGGTTCCTCTTACAATTTTCAACCCAAGGACGTCAAAACATACGGTACAGCATCGCTCATTTTAGGCCTAGTATCGATGGGAAGGTCGTAGTAACAGTCGGATATGCATGATGCTTTACGAAGGTACTCATCTGGATCCATTGAGTGTTTTCTAAGGATCTCTTCGGCTGATCTGAAACAGTACTCAGGTAATGTGACGTCATAAAGGGGCGAAAAGATCGATAGTGCAGCCAATTTCACCTGGTCGACGACGACGTTGACGCCCATGAGATTTTACGCAGCGCTTCGAGTTCATCGGCAAATGTGGCCTTAAAAAGCACTTTCATTAACTATCGATCCATTTTACGTTAACACCCCACCTGACTGCAAATGAAGCCATTTTTCCGAGCAGGATGCGGGGTCTCGGTGGACGTCGTCGCAGCGATATCCGAACTGCCGGTATCGCTAGGTCCTGCCGCTTCGTCGACAATACGCAAACCCGGCGAGTCGACACTCATCTCCTGATCTTCTGTAACGGTAAACTATAAATTACTGTGTAGTCCAATGGATCCATTTTCGTGACAAGGAAGTGATGGGGCTTTTTCAGGACACACTGGGAACTTCACCCTTATCAGCAAGACTCGCCAGCGTTTTGCAGCGATTTTCAACCATGAAAGGCTGGCGATAAGGTGGAATGCAAAGTTCAGCAGTGCAGGCTGGCACACATGAACACAGAACGTGCATTTCATGTTGCCGCCTACTCACTAGGAAGTTAAAGCGTCAAAGAGGATAAGTAAAAAGGCGACTAGGGCCATGTCACATAATTTCGGATCGATGTAACATTAGTTACAGTTACCACAAGAGTGCTGAACTATAGGGGCAGGAGTCAGACCCAGGTGGAAGTCTAACCCGCATCTCCGCTGATCGGACGAGTGCGTTATCCGTTACACCAGCGAAGTCGCTCTCACCTTTTCAGCTCAATCATCGCTTTACACAGTTTTTGCGTACAGTTCTTTCCCCAATGTTGGAAGAGGAGTATCCACGGACTTAGCTGTGGGGGCGGGGACTTTTAGAGTAGACTTTTATCTGTTAAGGCAGAGACGCAGACTGCATGCAGTCGTCATCCGGGCACTTGATTAGGCGGTCAAAGGGTCGCAGACGCGGCTGCGGCGCGTCACGACCGCGGCGATCAGCTGTTTCCAGCCTATTTAGCCATTTTCTCCCTAATTTTCACTGTTTTTGGCTGCTTTTCTTAAGGTTAGTTGTTCCTTGTCTTCACAAGGTGAATTATGATTGAGATTTCTCTAATTTTTGTTAACAATCAAATAATTAAACAAACAACTAAACAAATACCTTGAAAAAGATCGCAAAAACACTTCATTACAAGAACAAAAAAAGAATCCACGCCCTAATATATTCATGAATACTGAAAAACGAGTCACTTTGAAAAAAATAAATGATAAAATATACAGTGGGAATTAGGGAGAAAATGGCTAAATAGGCTGGAAACAGCTGGTCGCTGCAAGCGTGTCTGCGACGCTTTGACCGCCTAATCAACTGCCGCGATGGGTACACTGATATACAGGGGGGCCAAAAAAAAAGTCATTCTGGCCGAGTCACATATGAGCGAAGTTTTCGCAGCCCAGACAGAGGAAGTGGATATGAGTACCAGGGCGGAAGATACCCAAGATCTTCCCCTATAAGCTGGAGCAGGCTGCCGCCAATCGCCTTCTGTAGCGGCCAAAATATGAAGTCATCTCCAGTCGCGGCCTGACTGGAGAACACCTTTGGAATTCACGTCGCCTCCAAACAGCTGCGAAACTTCTTGAATGAAGTCATCCACAGATAGCTACCTGGAGGTCAGTACTCTTGATCTGCAAGACCTCCCACATCGAGCAGCTACGGCAACGTCGCTACGGTCTAGGACATCATCTTCACCGTATTCGCCGAGGCGCGAGTTGATGGTATGGACCGGGGTACCTGGAAAGGGGAAGACCGATATTTTCTTTGTAGACCCCGACTGAAGGTGAGCGCTGGCGGTTACATCAAGTAACTCGAGAAGAATATCCTCCCTACATGTGGTCGCCCGTACCTTCTTGGAGACCTTGTGCTGCTACAGGTTTGGGTGCCACCACATGGAATCAAAGGTTTTGGACTCCCGCCTACTCGGAATGGAAGAACGTTGAGTACCTGGAAAAGATCTAGTATTTAAGCGGGGGTCCTGAACTAAACCCCCTCAATTACTCGGTTCGGGCGGAGCTCAACAGGGTGGTCTTCAGTGGCGGAGAATTCCGATCTCGCTGCGACTGCGGTACCCACTCACTTTCGCGCGGCCGAATCTCTCGATGGCGCTCCTCCAAAGGCTGTGGCGGAGTATCATTATAGTATTTAATGTGCTCTTTAATATGGTAGTAAAAATGTCCGATAAAAATTTAATAAAGTGTAACTTATAGCGCCTTGAAAGTCATGGAGGCAAAATGACTTTTTTTTGGCCCCCCTGTATGTGGGAGAACGCCAGCAACCAAAAGAACTTTGACACGCCCCTGATAGAGCGCTGTTGCCTGAACCGGCGAATGTCCATAGATACGTGGTCAGCGACGAGCTCAGAGCAAGTCAGCTGGCACACCCCCTCCAATTCCGGGATATAGACAATATGAACATGACCCTGTTTCATTATAACCCTCACTCACTCCTTTCACTGACGGCTGAACCGGTAGTGTGGTCCCTTTTCGCTGCCGCATTTCGACGGGCTGATTCGAAGCACGAATATTAGGAAGGGGACGAGGGCTACACAAAATAAATGCGCAACTCTAAAGTTGATGCAAAAGCTGGCGCTAAGCCCCCGAATGGTCACAAATGACTGGAACGAATATGAAGGAGAAAAAAACACCTAAAAAAGTTCAAGCCGGATGGGTGTGAAAATGAAAATCAGGAAAAGGTTCTATTTCCTAAGGGAGCCACTGTCTAGGTCTATTATTATTTGCATCCTAGACAGCATTGAATTGCTTAAATAGCACCTGCTCTCATAATGTCAATGTTCCCGTTTCATTCCATGAACCCGTGATGCAAAATGTTTACAACGCTTTTACCTACTTAGAAATATGTCTAGCCATATCCTTGCAAAATCCTCCCTTTCTGCTGAATATCACACCTTTGTGTCCAAGTCATCTTTTGCAGCGGCCCTGATATCAGTAAAATCCTTTCAGCTTAGGAGTCCTTTCATCCCCTCTTGGGCTCAACTAGTGGGTAGTCGCGACCTACGAGGCCCGCTGGCTCTCTTGTCCGATGATCATACGCCCTTGTCAGCACATATTCTCCATATCCCGAAAGTAGGATGGGTGTGACCATACATCTCATTTGAACGTGACGACGGTTGAGCTTCTCGGTGAGGATATTTTCATTTGAGACATTTGCAATCATGCCTTTGTCCAGCTCGAGACTGGATGTCAGTTGTCCCAATTGGAAAGTCACTTGAAAAGCATGTCATAGGCCTTCAAATAAAGTACGCAGCCACGTCCGTCCCTCCTTCCCGCCCTATGCAAGGGATATGGGTGCCCAATAGATATCTGGCAAGTTTCCAAGTATGGTCGCCCCCCCCCTCATAAATCAAGGCAAACCATGTAAACGACAAGGGCACGAATGGCTGGGCGCAAGCCTTTCGGTATGTAACTCCAACGGAAGCTGCTGTAGCTGGTGGGAGCGGCTGAGTGAGGTGTGACCATAACACCTTCTCACAGCTGCCTTCATGCCATCCGCTTGGCAGACACGGCCCGCCCGCAGCACATCGTTCCATTGCCTTTAAAGGATTGTCGCGTTTTCGAGGTCTTGCCTTTTTAAACGGGAGCGCCGCCTTTTGAATGGACATGCGGAGGATACCTAGTGTAGTGAGAAATGTTCAGCGCGTTACTCAATTGCTAAGAATCCATATTGAATCACCTAAGTGCAGTTTTTACCTGCAAGTCCAATTATTATCTATCCTATCCTACTCAATGACCGATTTAATCACCCTACTGAAGGGTGGTAAAGTTAAACCGCTGGTAATGTGGATGATACCGCTGGTTTTTAATGTGCTTATTCTTGAAATGATATACATATGATCTTAGTGGGCCATATTTCGCTTTGAACAATACGCGAGACAGTCCAAGTGGTAATTGAAACCATAAAGCAGCGCTGGACATCTGCGACGCCCAACGTTTTTTAAGCAGTCATGATCAAAGATGGCTTTTGAGTAAAGGAATTACAAGTCAACCCAAAAAAGTCCCGTTGGACTGCAGAGGGAGGCACAAAAATCTATACTGTAAGGATTCCGGAAGAACCGATCCTCCCATGTACATCTCATAATTGGAAGATTCCGGATCTCTCGAGCTTTTTCGCCCAATTTTTTATATGCATCCTTGACTCAAAGGGGAGGGGGGAAGGGGGACATATTGCCATCTCTTCGTTACCGTGTATTTCTGTGTTCATGTTGAATTACACGTCTCAACGTTGACAAGACTTGTTGATAAGCTTCTGTCACGGCCATGGCTTTGACAGGAATTCACAGGTCTCCCTGTGAGGCATCGCAAGTGATCGATGGAACCAGCAAAATGCCCCCACCAAGCCGAACCGTGTCTACGCATTACTGTTACCACTACTACTATTGCAATTGTGAGTTGTATTCGAGTTAGACAGAAGTCGTTGATCGCGCACCTCCGCAATAGACCTCTCACTTCGCCACTGGAGAAAAAGTGGCGTGAAGAATCCCAAAAGTGAGTTTAAATTCCTCAGAGCGCTTCCTACACGAAAGAAGCAACGCCTCATTTAGCTCCGCTCGGTCTAGAGAACGGCGGTTGGGAGTCCATCCATCAGCAGCCGTAAGAGCTGCGAGACGGATTGCAGTATAACAGCGTTCTTCATCCTGAACAGCATGCGCATTTCCGGGTCTGAGTCACTTTCCCTGACAAGGCTTGCCTGCAGATTGTATGGCTGATTCTCCCAATGGTCAGCGACGGGAGAAAGACCACCAATCATGTCAGATTTTCGGATCAATTTGCCCGTGATTTCCCTTCATTTTACGTCTTGACCAGGATGGCTGGTGTCTCCCAATGTCGGCAGGGGGAGGGGACACCAACCATTCAGATTTTTCGAACACGGTTGCCCGTTCGCTTTTTACGTCTTGACCATAGACAACCAATCGCCCATCGCCAAGCACTCTCGATCCCACTAAAAGCTTTCTGAGGGTGTACTGAATAGGGAAGTCTACATTGGTACATTCAACATCCAACAACCGCGGCGAAAGATCTTGAGATGCGCCTCCAAACGTAATGTCATTCACTGGCCAAATGCTTTGCCACCGTTATTTCTGGAGATCCGTGTCTAAACTTTAGAGCATTAGATTCCCACTTATCATAGGGACACAGTGATCGGAATTCAATGTAAATTTCTTCAGCAACGAGCGAACCTAGAAAGCTCTTCCGGATTTTTCAGCAACGAGCGATCCTGAAACTTCTTCCCAACAACGCCTGCCCTTTAAAAGCCT